ATGTACCTCAGTATGAAGGCCCTAGGTTCAATCCTCAGTGGCCAAAAATAAATGAAAAACTTGCCCAGGGTCACAGCTGGTAAGGGGTGGGGTAGGGCAGGACAGGAGTCTAGGGTGAGGACCGTTTCTAGAGCCTGCTCTCGCCCTTGCCTCACCTTTTGTCAATTCCTGCGGACCTGGAGGGCCCTGCAGAAGGAGTGGACAAGGGGGTCTGTCTGCCCTTGGCCCCACAGCCCAGAGAACAGGGCTTTGTGTATCCTGTCCCCAGCTCCAGGACAGCTGGACCACAGGAGGAGGAGGGCAGAAGGTGACGCCCACGGTTTGCCTACACCTGCCCAGTCACCTCCCTCCTGTCGCCCAGGCTAAGCAAGGTGGTCACCTCCTGCATCATGGCCCTGGTCCTCGCCATCAACCTCTACTTCGTGGTCAGCTACCTGCCCAGCCTTCCCCACCCTGCCTACTTTGGTCTCGTGGCGGTGCTGGCTGCAGCCTACCTGGGCCTCACTGCCTACTTGGTACAGTAGGGCCAGGGGCGCCTTTGTCGGGGGCACCACTGTGGGGGAGGGGAAGGGAGCACCCTGGGGCTTCCGCACTCATGGTCGCCCCTCCCCCAGGCTTGGACCTGTTGCCTCGCACACGGAGCCACCTGTCTGACCCACAGCTCCCACCAGCACTTCCTGTACGGGCTCCCTGAAGAAGGGCCAGAGGACGGGGCGAGCTCGAGATGAGCCCCACTCAAGGCCTGGCCAGGAGGTGGCCAGGGCACAGCAGACTGGCTTGCTGGACACCCAGGGCAGCAGCCAGACACTTTTGGAGCCTGGCCCACCGGGGTCCTTAGGGACTTGCTGTTTTGTAGTTTACATACATACTTAGCCTCTGGGTCTGTCTTGGGTAGAACAGGGACAACCACCACTTTAGCAGGGATGTAACGCACTTTACACAGTGCTTAGTTAGCTCTTGCGGCTCTTTAAAAAATCATTTAAAAATATGTACTGACGATGGGGTGGCGGTGCAGGCAACACTCTGAAGGGCCCAGGCAGGAGGATCACAAGTTCAAGCCCACACTAGGCAATTTAGCAAGACTCTCAAAATAAAAAAAGGGCTGGCACAGCGCCTGCTTGGCAAGCGCAAAGTCGTGAGTTCGATTCCCGGTACCGCAAAAAAATAAAACTATAAAAAATAAAAAAAAGGGCTGGGGATGCAGCTCAGTGCAAAGGTCTTAGCTTCAATCCGCAGTACAAAAAAGAAAGAAAGAAAAGAAAAAAAGAAAAGAAAAGGGAAGAAGGCACTGAACACTTTTAAGAGTGACCCAACAGACACACAAGGGGAGGCACTGGAAGTGAGTCTTCAAACCAGCACTTAAAATAGAGCCTTAGAAATGCTGAAAAATACCAAAGAGCTAGGAAAAGAAACCCAGAAAGCTCGAAATCTAAAGCCCCGAGAGCCCCCCGGACGTGTGCTTGGCTCGGGTGCTCCACAGCCTTAGCTGCACCTGCAGCCCATCACCCGGCAGTAAAACGAGGCGCGGTTCTCTCTCAGACGCCAGGTCAGAAGGAACCAAGAGTCCGTGCCTTCCAGGCCCAGTTCCTTGCCCTCTCCCCAGGGGACCAGGCCGACCGCACTCCCAAGCTGCGAGGTTAACGCTGCATCTGCGCTGACTCCCGGCTCCCCCTAGGGGCAGGGACAGTCCCGAGCGCCCGCGCTCTCGCCTGGGCGTCACCCCTCGGGGCCTAGCGGAAAGACCAGGTTGGCTAGAGCCGGAATACCGCGCCCGGGGCCGCAGAATTTTCTCCAGCAAGGAGGTGTGGAGTAGCTGTGGGAGCCGGGGAACACCCCGCCCCAACCTCCACTCGGAGCAGCCGGGCACTCCTTCGCCCCGTGCCGAGGCTGTACTTTACAGACGCTCCCTAGGCTGTTTCTAGGCTCCCCTAAGTCCCACCTCCTAGCTCCTCTGGTCCTTAGGACCCTAGCCTAGGAGCCACGGAGAGCATCAACCGAGTGGGGCGTGGGGGCGCCAAGCCTTTCCCAGGAGTTAAACCTGGGGCAGGTGGGGTGCTTGCCGGTACCCTGGATTTTCCGGGGACCCAGCCAGGCGGGCGGCCGGGCTCTGCACTCAGGTTGAAGTGCTTGTTTATGAGAAGAATTTCCTCTTTCTTAAAAGGGCAACGGTGAGAGTGGGGCCCGCAAGGAGTGGCGGGATGGGACAGGTTTTGGTCCAACCGTGGCAGCTGCCAGAAAGTTCCGGGAGAGTGGGCTGCCCCTCCCTTGCGCCGGGTTTGCCCCGGGGACAATGGGATCTGCGCGGCCGAAGGACGGGGCAGTAGCGAAGAAGGGCATCGCCCAGACCCTTCTCCATGTGCACACACTTGTCCCCGCTGTACCCCACCCCCGCACCCCATCAATTCACTTGGCATCACCCGGGTGCTAGTTTTGTGCCCGGCTCGTGCCAGAGGCGGGAGGGAGGCAGAGTCCCACATTAAAGATGTCAGCAATAAAGTTCATACCCTAAGGGACAAGGACAAGTCACTGGCCTGCAAGATGAGACTAAGGGCACCTGACCCTGACCGAGTGAGGCTAGGGCCACAGGAGGTGGCTCTTGCACAGGGCTTCGAAAGAAGAAAAGGGACAGTCCCACGAGGGCGGGGGCAATGGCAGGGTCCCTCGGAGAGGCTCCAGAGCCTGTGCAGCAAGGCGGTGGGCATGGGCAGGCTGGCCACAGGGACAGTGAGCCCAGGGCTTGCAGCCGGGGTCAGAGGAGACACTGAGGCTCAGCCAAGGAGCAGTGCCGGGCCTGGACCAGGGGTCAGCCACCAGAGCAGGACAAAGTCACCTTGTTCCACGGAGGCCCTCACCTCCATAGCCGCCTGGTCCCCGCAGCCCCCAAGGCTCAGCTCAAACAAGGCTGCTCCAAAGTTCCCTTCCCCCAGCTCCAGCAGCAGGCCCCGGGGGCGGGGGCACAGGAAGCTGGCGAGGGTGCCGGGCCACCCCTCGCTGTGCTGCCCCTTCACCTTGCTTTTCCTGCCCCACTTGGCAGGGGGGCAGGCGGGCGGAAAGGTGGGCACTGGATAGAGAAGACGCTTGGTGTCCGTTGCTGAGTCCTGCCCCCACCCCACTGCCCCCGGCCTTGCAGCCCCCAGGACGATCTATGAAACTGATACAGATAAATAGGGGGGTCCCAGTACCAAGGGAAAAAAGTTTGCAGATAAATAGGGGGACAGCAGCTGGTGTAGACCCATTTGCACGCAAAGAACCCCCTTCACCCTTCAGCCAGCGTGGGCAGAGAGCTAAAGAGCTCCAGACCGAAGGCGCTCCCCCCTGAGGAGCCCCGAGCCAGGTCGCACGGGGCCACAGGGATGTTGGGGAGGGTGTCGGGCTGTTCTGCCCTGCCCAGTTCTCTGACACCCCCCCCCCCGCCCGCTGTCCCCGAGAATCAGGGAGAAGGCGACCGCACGCCCGGGAGGCCAGGGGCAAAGCCAAGGGGCGCGTCCGTCCCCGACCCCACACTTCCTCTGGGGGTCCGTGTGGGTGGGACCCAGAAGGGCGCTGTCGCCGGGAGCAAGTCTGTGTCCCGCCTGGCCCTGGCTGGAGGGCCTGGGCTTGTTGCTTCTCTTCCCGGAGTTTGGTTTCCTTAGCTGTCACCTGGAGTACGGAAGAGGTCGCACCAAACTGTCACGGAGATTAGGGGCGCTGCCAGATCACGCCCCGGCGACACTTGGGCAAGGAAGCTGATAAAGTGCAAGGGTGGCGGCCCTGTAGATGCTTAGGCGCAGGAGGGGACCAGGTCGGCCCCCCCGCCACGCCCACCCGGGGCCTCCCCCCTGCACCCCAGGGAAGGCGCGCCCTTGCCCGAGCGCGCGCATCTCCAGCAGGGACTGAGCGGACGCGCCAGCCCCGCCCCGCAGTGGAGGCCGGGAGGAAGTGCCGAGGCGCGCCTTCAGTGCTCGGCATTATTATTATTTTTAAAATTGTGAACACAAAATCGGAAGGAACTTCGTAAACGGGTTAGCCTCCTGCCTCGTCCCCCGGAACGCACAGTCCTCAAGGCGTGCTCCCGCGTGGAAACTTAGTCCCCACACACACCTGCAGGGTGTCCCCACAGCCCCGCGTGGGACCTGCGCTTATGGAGTCCCTAAACAGTTGACACTGGTTCCGCCCGGCACTCGGAGCCAGCACCCTCGGATAATCCGGGAGTGGTTGGCGTTCCGGGGCTGGGGCAGGGGAGGCCTCTGCACGACGTGCCGTTTCCTCTAGGTTGGCGGGAGGCAGCACGTTTGAAGCGGAGGGAGCGGTGTAACCCAAGGCCTTGGGCGGGGGAGGAGCCCGCTCCTCCAGGCGCGAAGAAGGGTGGCGTGAGGACTGGGGATGGTCGTGCAGAGCGACCCTCGAGGTAGTGAGAGTTGGAATTTTCACACCCCATAGACCAGGATCACACCGCCGAGACCGCAGTGGCTGGAGGCAGTCACAGGTAAAGAATATAATTTTGTGTGTTTGCAGAGCTATTGTTAACTGTTTTGTTTTGTTTGAGACAAAGTCTCGCCGTATAGTCCAGGCTGGTCTTGAGCTCATTTATGTAGCCCAGGCTGGTCTCGAACTCAGGTGACTCCACCTACTGTTTTAGCTTCTCGAGTGCTCGGATTACAGGCGTGTGCCACCACGACCCGCTTCGCACAGGTATTGCGGAGCCTTCGATCTCTCATGATGTCCCTGCGAAGTGGCCTTTGCCAACATCAGACATAAAATCTGTCTTACAAATAAATAAGCGTTATCCCATTTTCCAGATAAGCAAACGTAAGTGACTAGTGCCAAGCTCTCAGAATCCGCAGGGCCCGAGCTGCGCCGCCCTCCGGCGCTCCCGGGCCTGGGCCCCAAGGATCCGCGTCTTGGAGGGTGGGCCGGGTGTCGGCCCTGCCACGCAGCCGCAGAGGCTCTGTCTCGCCGGCGGGCGGTAGGAAAGGAAGCGACGCCCCCTGGATCGCGGCAGGAACCCAGCCCGGCCCGCCTCTCCGCCCGCGGAGCCGCCCCGGCCCCAGAAGTGATGAAAGCCGCGGCCGAGTCCAGGTCACGCCGAAGCCGTTGCCCTTTTAAGGGGGAGCCTTGAAACGACGCCCGGGTTCCATGTTTGCATCCGCCTCGCGGGGAGGAAACTCCATGTTGTAACAAAGTTTCCTCCGCGCCCCCTCCCTCCCCCTCCCCCTTAGAACCTGGCTCCCCTCCCCTCCGAAGCTCGCGGGGATCCCTCCCTCCCACCCCTCCCCTCCCCCCCGCGCCCCGATTCCGGCCCTAGCCGGGGGGGAGGCCGGGCGCCGGGGCCAGAGTCCGGCCGGAGGGGAACGCGCCCGGCCCCATGGACAGCTCGGCCGTCATTACTCAGATAAGCAAGGAGGAGGCGCGGGGCCCGCTGCGGGGCAAAGGTACTGGGGTGGCGGGGAGGGTGATGCATTCCGCGCGCGGCAGGAGGGGAGGAGGAGAGGACCGGGGTCTGTCCCTACGCAGCAGCCGCTGCCACCACCCCGGGCAACCGCCTTGGCTGGGTCGGAGCTCCGGGCCCGAGAGGCGGAGAGGGCAGAGTTTAAACTCTAGGAGTCTCGAGACGCGGGGCGGGGCCTGGCGCCTCTAGCGCACTCTGGCCTGCTCCAGGTTGGGAAACTGAGGCTGGGATAGGGAGGGGGTGCTTTACGGCGGCTCCTGGGCCGGCGGTGCCTGAATGTCGCCCCCTCCCCCCCGGTGGCGCCAATGGGGCTGCGAGATGGGGGGGGTGAAGTGGCCACCTTCGGGCCACCCGCTGAGACTCCGCCCCTCTGTACTGTGGTCGGGTTGGGTCTTGGGATGGGGCGCGGAGGTGACAGCCGGCCCGGGAGGCTTTGGGGATCTCCCGCCAAACGGTACCCGCGTTCCCACAAACTTCCGCGTCACGCATGGAGGCGCCGAGCACCTCCGTGGCAGCGAGGGGCCCGCACTAACACCAGTTCCTGCGCGCCCTCAGGGACAGCTTTGTGCCCGGTGGGGGCTTCGGCCAAGGGGCTGCAGGCTGTGCGCATCTGGGTTGTGCATCCGCGCACCGACCCGGGAACCCCCCCCCCCCCCGAGGCTGCGCCCCGGGCAGGGAAACTTGGGTGAGGGTCCCTCCTCTGCCTCTAGTAGCCCTCGGGGCCTGGAAGTCCGCGCGGGTCTACCCACTTCCAGCCTAGGCCTAGCTCGGTCCGGAGCAGGGGCGGTGGAGAGCGGGTCTGTCAATCAGCGGCCGCCGCCCGCTGCAGGTCTGAGGTCTGGGCGGGGCGGAGGAGGCGGGGCACGCAGATGGCGGCGGGACACTGGCCTCAGCCTTGGGACTGCACCCCCTGCCTCTAAGGACTTTGAACCCACCGGGTGGACAGGATGGAGGGAGAGTGGGAGTGGGCGACGGGGCCTCAGGCCGTGGGCCTCCTGAGCAGAGGCTTCCCAGGTAAGGTGGGCAGGTGATAGGGAAGCACCCTGTTCCCTGCATCGCTCCCTGAAACGCGTGCCTTTGTAGCCACACTGGACTGGGGCGTGTGGTGGGGGAGGGCGCCGTGGAGACTGGCGGGGCCTCTGGCAGGCGCATTTCAGGATCCAGGATCAGAGTCACTTCTCATTGCCTCCCTAAAGGAAGGGGGCGTGGCTAGACCAACTCCGGGTTCGCACCTGGGCTGCCCGCCTCTGCAGGCCAATATGTCCATGTCCCCAACCTGGGCCTCCCTGCTTCAGGTGACCAGAAGTCAGCCGCTTCCCAGAAGCCCCGGAGCCGGGGCATCCTCCACTCGCTCTTCTGCTGCGTGTGCCGTGAAGATGGGGACGCCCTGCCCGCCCACAGTGGGGCACCCCTGCTGGTGGAGGAGAACGGTGCCATCCCCAAGGTGCATGGGGGGCAGCAGGGGCACCCGGGCTCGTTTGGGGAAAGGGTCCTGGTGGAGATTCTGACAAAGCTGGGAAGCGGGTGGGATGGCCCACTGTCCCACATGTCCTCCGGCCACCAGGGAGGGAAGCCCCTGTAGGAGCTACCCCCACCCAGCCCCTACCCTCCCTACAGCAGACCCCAGTGCAGTACCTGCTCCCCGAGGCCAAAGCCCAGGACTCTGACAAGATCTGCGTGGTTATCGACCTGGATGAGACCCTGGTGCACAGCTCCTTCAAGGTGGGCCCTGGCCAGCTGCGCTCAGCCCTGAGCCTCGGGGTGGGGGGCTGCCCTGGCTGGGGAGGGAGGTCTCTGCTGGGCCCTGGGTCCTGGGGCTACCCACCCTAGCTCCAGCAGCTCTTTTCCCTCTTGCAGCCGGTGAACAATGCCGACTTCATCATCCCAGTGGAGATCGATGGGGTGATCCACCAGGTGAGGGGCAGAGGAGGTGGCAGGCTTGGCGTCTGCCTCCAGACCCCACACTCTTCCCACCAATCTGGAGAGAGCGCCGCATGGGACTTTGATAAATGTGCAATGGTAGAGGCCCAGAGAAGGTGTGAGACTTGCCTGAGGTCACACAGAACCTCAGGGACTTGGCCAACTCCAAGCTCTGGCCTGGCCTGGCTGTGCCCTCTCGCCCTGCACCCCCTGCCCGGGACCCAGTTCAAGTAATTCAGGATAGGTTGTGTGCTGTCCAGCCTGTTCTCCATTACTTGGCTCGGGGGCCGGCGCCCTGCAGCCTTGGGGTGAGGGGGCTGTCCCCGGGGTCCTGCATCTTTTGAGGCCAAGGTGGGGGAAGAGACCAGGAATTTAGTGACTCTCCAGGCCGGATCTGCAGCTGGTGGACTTCAAGCTTGTCCGGATCCTCTGGGACACTGGGTGGTTAGGGCAGCTGCCACGGGACGCCACAGGCCTGGCTCCTCCACCATTCCCTCCCAGCCCTCTGTTGCCCCTCCCCAGCCCGTGGGCCACAGCCCCTCACTGGCCCACCCCCCAGGTCTATGTGCTGAAGCGGCCCCATGTGGACGAGTTCCTGCAGCGAATGGGTGAGCTCTTCGAGTGCGTGCTGTTCACCGCCAGCCTGGCTAAGGTGAGGCCCTGCCAGGGATGTGGGGTAACCTCGCCCTCCCATCTGCCTCCAGCATGCAGCCAGATGGAGCCCTGGGCCACGCCCAGCCCCTGGATGACCCACCTCCCACCCCCAGTATGCAGACCCAGTAGCTGACCTGCTGGACAAGTGGGGGGCCTTCCGTGCCCGGCTGTTCCGAGAGTCATGTGTCTTCCACCGGGGGAACTATGTGAAGGACCTGAGTCGGCTGGGCCGAGACCTCCGGCGGGTGCTCATCCTGGACAACTCGCCAGCCTCCTATGTCTTCCACCCAGACAACGCTGTGAGTGCCAGAGGGCCGCACAGGGATGCGACCGAGGGAGGCCATCCAGGCCGCCTTGGCCTCCACAACCCCAGACTCGATAGTGCCACGTGGCTGTGCCTTCCCATCTATTCCTTTTCCTGCACTCAGTGGGCTGTCGGCCACTGCCGCTGCCTGGAACTTGGTTAGTCAGGCCACTCTGCTTGCGTGTGGACGGTGCCTGCCGCCAGGCAGTGGGACACGTCGGCTTTTCAGAGTGCCAGTTGTGACCTATCAGTGGGCCACACAGTAAATGTAACGAGTCCTGATTGGGATTCTTAACAGTCTGAATGCTTGGCACACAGTAAGTTTAAGCGTTGCTCTTGGAAACTTTTTTTATACATATTTTACATTGAGTTGCTGTGAAGCTGTGAGCACTGTGGTCAAGGGGTGCCCAGGAGCTGGGCAGCCTGAGTAGTGGGTGGCTAGGGCTGGCCTGAGGGTTCAGCACCCTGGCCCACCTGTATCCTCACCTCCCTCTTCCCATCTCCCCAGGTACCGGTGGCCTCGTGGTTTGATAACATGAGTGACACGGAACTGCATGACCTCCTCCCCTTCTTTGAGCAACTCAGCCGAGTGGACGACGTGTACTCAGTGCTCAGGCAGCCTCGGCCTGGGAGCTAGTGAGGCGCCATGGGGCCAGGACCTGCCCCTGGCAGAAGCCTGCACCTCCTGCCGCTCAGACTCCGGGTACTTGCCTGTACTCTTAAGAAAACCTGCGGGCTGCACCATGTTCACAGCCCTGGGGAAACAGGCGTCTACCCTACCGGCCCCACGGGGCTGCACCAAGGACAGTGAGCCCCGGGCCCGTTGTCAGTGCCTTCCAACCTCCTCTCCCGTTCAGGGGGCCTGGGGGGCCCTGCCTGCTGCTTCCCCTTTCTGTCTTTCTCCATGCTGCCAAACTGGGCCCCTTAGCCCCGCCTAGTTCTGCTTTGGGGGTGGAGGCAGGGTTTCTGACCCCCAGCCCGGGAACAGTGGACACCAAGTGCCTTGCATAGACCCTCTCTTCCCTTAGCTTTCCCAGGGACAGGGACACAGCCATCCTCCTGCCAGCTCCCGCGGGAACGGTGCAGGTGGCTGCACTCTTAAGCTGGAGCAGGAGGAACCAATCTCTGTCCTGCCTGCCTTCCGCCTTGGGAGCGACCAGCAGTTTCTGCCCTGAGGGAGAGCCGGGAGGGGACGTCTGTTACCATTTGTGAGGGGAGCAGCCCTGCTTCTCCAAGGCTGACAGCTACTCCCCACATCACCGAACCCTGGACCCCCTATTTCTGCCTTAACCACCCCAAGGCCCTGCAGCTTGGTTCCTGAGCTCTGAGTACAGGGCATAGGCAGGACGCCCTGGTGGTGCCATATAAATATGTATATGTGTATATAGATTTTTAAGGGAAGGGCAGGGAAGGGTCGGGGTAGAGACACCCTTCCCTTGCCCCTTTCCTGGGCCCAGAAATTGAGGGGGAGGGAGGGAGAGGATTTTTACGTTTTTTTAAAACTATTTTTCTGAATGGAACAAGCTGGGCCACGGGGACTCAGGCTCTGTCCTGTCCCTCACACCCTGTTTGTTCCATTCATTCAAAAATACTCTTCGAGCACCTTCCATGCCCAGCAGTGTGCTAGGTCCACCAGCTAAGTGTGAGGGGGTCTCCACCCCTAATTGGTGCCTTTCCCCACCCACTCCAGACTTCACAGGTGCCTTCCAGGTATCTGCAGGAGGTGGGACCTTCTTGGGCTTGGGGGGTCTCCAGGAAACCTGGCCAAGCTGTCCCCCTCCCCTGTGCCAACCCACCCCCTGCAGCCTCCTCTGACCCCCTGCTGGCTGGGGGCTCGCCCCCAGGACTTCTGCCTTCCAACTCTGACTTAGTTTCTGAACCCCCGCCCCACACCAGCGGAGTCCGGAGGTCAAAGCCTTGGGTTCTCCCCAGGGTCTTAAGAATTAAGGGGACCCACAAACCAGTGCCAAGGGAGTTGGTGGGGAAGGGAGGATATTGGTGACCTAAGTCGGGTGACCTTCCCGTTTAAGTGCCTTCTCTGACAGCCTCACAGTGTGATAACTAAAGAGAAAGCCAGGCTCCCCCATCCCGCTTCTGTGGTTTTTGGTCGTGCCGAGTGTCCCCTCCAAAGCAAACCTTCGGCGGGGAGCGAGGAGCTGCCCAGGCCCTGCGCTTCCCGTGTGAGTGCGGCAGAGTGGTGGGCACAGCCTTGAGTCGGACTTGTGTACATCGGGTTGCGGTACAGAGTTACTCCGCTGCTTTGAGTTTCAGAAGTCCCTGCCGCTGACGACTGAAATTTAGCTCTGAAGCCAAAGTGACGTGCGGGAAGGGGCGGGCTGGGGGCGTGGCCTCGGGTGGGCGGGGCGGCGGACGCGGAAGAACTCGCTCACCAGACTGGCGTGGGCGTGTGCTGCCGGCGAGGTCTTCGGCCTCCCGGACTGTGCGGGCCGCGTACTTGGGCTGCAACCTCAGGCCGCTGGCTCAGCGGGCAGGCTGGGTGGGGCCGGCGCCAACTCCCGGCCGCCGCCCCACTTCCTGCCCCGCCCCGCTTCCTCTGCGGACCGCGCCTCCCCGGCCGGCCGGGCAGGAAGTGCCCTCCGCCCTCGCCGGCTTCCCGCGCCGGCCGCTAGGGGGCCTCCAGGTCCTCGCGGACCTCGGGCTCCCCAGGGCTTGGTCTTGACGCGCCTACTTCGTCCCCACCCTACTCCTGCGCCCCAGGCCTGCCTCATTTTCCCCTTCTGAAGGTGGGGGCCCCCATGCACATGCAGGGGGAGCAGAGGGATGTGTCCATCGCACGCGTTGGTTTCTGAACCCCAGCCCCGCACCCGGCCATCGCTTTACCTGGCGAATGTAGCCCCAAGCCTGCCTCTTAGCGCTCCAGCTGTTGAACGCCCCCAATTCTGTATGCTGGGCATTACACTGCGCGTGAAGCTGCCCCCTCTTCCACCTCACTCCGCTCCTGCTCCTTTTACCCGGTACAGAAGAGCCAGGAAGCACCCACCTGGGAAGAGAAGCCTCCAGTACCCTGGCGTCAGCTCTGGTCTAGCTGGACCAGGAGAGGCTCAGCAAGATAAATACCCAGGTCTTGGCCTATCCTGGAGGACCTGCTCTAGTTCCTGCTCTCCAAGTAAACACTGGCTGCTCCAGATTTGCATCCCGGAGGCCATGCAAGGAGGGTGCCCAGCTTTGAGTGAGATCATAGGCAGGGTTTCCTACCACCACCTACGCTCCCTGCACACAGGCAGAGTTCAGCTCAACGGTACTGTAGGTGCTTCCCCGGGCCAGGTACAGTACCAGGAGCAAACTGAATCACTGCTACTCTCAAGGAACTCACCCCAGAGCAATAAACACATCTGTTGGAAGGGTGGAGAGGTTTTAATCTCTTAAGTATGAGTGTTATATCGCCGGGATGAGTTACTGATCCTGCTTGTGGATGTCTTTATCTTTGTTCTTTAGGCAGTCGTTGTTCCAGAGCCCCCCCCACTATCCTCCGAAGGTAAAACCCTGGGTGGCCCATCCTAAACACATTTCTATAATTGAAGCATGCTTACTTAGTTACAAAGAAAAAAGGGGGAAGAGAGAGAAAACAAAGATTTAGCAATAGTAACCACAAAAAGTAATGCTACCTGTAATTTAAGAAGTAAGATTAGAAGAGCTTCAATAGCCGCAAGCATTGACAGTTGGCTTGTCTGTAATAGCGTCTGTTATAATTTTCAGTAGTAGGGGTTGAGGGTGTAGCACTTGCCTAGCATGGGTGAAGCCCTGGGTTTGATCTCCAGTGCTGAAAAAATTCCAGTAACATTTTATCAGAAAGTCTCATGAATTTCCTGTTCCAGGGCCAGCTTCCCAGCTGTGGTCCCCTCGTGACGGGTTTCCTGTGGGAAGTAAGATGTCCCTTTGGAATGATCTGCTTCGAGTTGATTGGGGTCTCTAGAACATGGTTATTGTGTTCATTTAGATATGCCTGAACACATCCCCTCAATGGGTGTCACGCTGCTGTCACCCAGGCAGGCAAGCAGTGCGCAGATGGGAGTACTGAGTGTCAGGGTGAGCAAGCCCTGGCTGAGCTGCCTCTGTTTGCTTCACCCTTACTTTAGAGACCTTCCCATTGCAGAACGTAGAACTCCACTTTGTATAATTAAAAAATTTAAGCCAAAGACACTTTGCTTGCTATGGTTATTTGTTACATTGGACCAACAAAGGGTGGTCCTAACCCCAATACCTGGCAACAATTTAACCTCCAAGTGGAGCGAGCTCCCAATCAAATGACACATCATGTAAGATAAAGGTAGTTCTAGAACTATCACCAGTTCCAGAACAAATGCAAAATAAGCACAAATAAGTAAAAGCAATATATAAAAATATAGGCAAAAACAAATGAAGGACTTGAAAACAGAATCTTAGTAATGAGCCAAACACCGTTATGTCTGTGGAAGCAGCTGTCCAAATGGTCCAAGAGACCATTTCTTCCAAGATGACACCCAAAGGACACAGAATTGTCAGGTCAAATCAGCAATAAAACAAGGACTTTTCACTGGGCAGAGTCCCCAGTGGCCAATTTCTTTCTTTCTTTCTTTTTTTTTTTTTGTACTGGGAATCAAACTCAGAACCTTGCACTTGCTAGGCAGGCACTTGTGCCACTGAGCTGTATCCCTGGCCCACCAATGCCATTTTGGAATGAGTATTTGCAGGGTGGAGTCACAGGGAGGCATATCTCAAATGATGGTCTAAAGGTACTGTTATTTATATCCTAGGATCTGTATTACTCAGAGTCCATGTCAATTTCAGAGGGAAAAGCTTCAGTTGCTGGGCCGGGCATGGTGGCTCCCCCTTGTAATCCCAGCACTATCCCAGTAATGGGGAGGCTGAGGCAGGAGGATCACTGCGAGTTCGAGGTCAGTCTGGGCTACAAAGTGAGTTCAAGGCCAGCTTGAACTGCATAGCAAGACCCTGTCTCAAAAAAAAAAAAAAAAAAAGCTTCAGTTGCTAACTCTTATTTGTATTTCATCCCACCGTTCTCCAGCATCCTCCACTTGGCTTAGTCGTGGCTTGTGCAAGAAAATCTCAAAGTGGAATTAGTATTGTCAAAGCACAGTCATGGTCATCATAATTAAAATACCAGCTGGAGGCCGGGCATGGTGGTGCACACCGGTAATCCCAGCACTCGGGAGGCTGAGGCAGGAGAATCATTGTGAGTTTGAGACCAGCCTGGGCTACAAAGTGAGCTCAAGGCCAGCCTGAGCAGCCTAGTGAGACCCTGTCTCAAAAAGACAGAAAAAAATAAAAAAAAAATTTAAAAATACCAGCTGGGCATGATGGTGCACATTTCTAATCCCAGCACTTGTTTTTTTCTTTGTTTGTTTGGTTTTTTTTTTTTTTTTTTTTTTTTT